TTTTTTTGTCATGATGATATGATTTCTATGGGAGAAAGTGAGAATGATGAGGATAATGTGCTGAATGAAAACATGTACTGTGAAGGATGTGGGTTTTGGATTTAGATTTTGCTAATATGTTGCAGCATTGACTGATTAAGAAATTTCTGTTTTGATCTTAAAATTATTTGGAGAGTTTTGCTTCAAATTTTGCTCGTTGTAGATTTTTATATGAGGGTTATGCAGTTTGTGATATTTTCATCTTCACACATCCATTATCTTAGATTATCTCATATAGTCAATTTGGGTAATATTAATGAACATATCGTGTAAATACAGAATGCGATTAGGATTCAAAATATTTGTCTGCATTTAAATAATTTCACAATCAATAAATGGACAATGGGGATTCTTTTTTTTTTTTTTCCGAAACGATAGGAGTATTATAGGGGATTCAAATTATTTTTCTGCATTTATCAGTTTGAAACAATTTAGAAAAAAAAATCACAATCGATGAATGGGACAATGGAGATTCAGTATTTCTCGTCAAAATTTGATTACTCGTTTGAATAGGATTTCACAAGTGATTAAGATTATTTTACATAAACTTAAATTTGGTTTTAACATCAGAATCTATACTTATATTAAAAGCTATACTATTTACTAAATGTAGTATGTAGAATAGTCAATCCTAATTCATGATTTGCTATTTTTATCAAGCATTTAATTAATGTATCTAATATTTTTGGTATGCAAATCAAATTAGTATTTAATTAGTTCCTAAAATATTGGGTATGCAATATTAATTTAGGAATATCCATGTAGTTCCTAAAATGTTGGTATGCAATACGTAAAAGAAGGTTTTTTATTTTTTTAAATATAAAATATTGCAACACGTAAAACTATTCCAGTTATTTTTTATTTTATTTTACATATTAAATCTAATCACTATTTAATGCATCCTACAAAATTGGATGGAAATAAAAAAGTACGTAAAATTTTTACTAAAATAAAAAAAAGCTTTATTTATTATCTAATTTATTATCTAATTGTATGAAAATCTGTTCTGATTTTATGGTACATACTACAAATTGTGCACTCGTGTTCAAGAGTTACTTAACGGACAAGCTCTGTGGAAATAACTCATTTAGTGCTTCTGTCCCGTGCATACAGTATGTATTTGTATTACACATACTAGAAAATTGTGCACCCCGTGCATCGCACGAACTCTGTACTAATAAATGACCTTAAAATTGTGCACCCCGTGCATCACCCGTGTTCACATTTTGGCCTATTACAAGTCACGTACTATATATATCCCGTACATTTTTCTTTATTCATTTATATAATTATAATTATAAGAGTTGATAAATGACTTTTGTGCACCCCGTGCATAGCACGGATCTGTACTAGTATGAAGAAGAAGCAACCCAATAACAATGAAGGTTATTAATCGAGTGAAAACAAATGCAATTTATTTAGTTAGAATTAGTGGTTGAATTGGAATATGTAAATGTGTTTAGGTAAAATAATAATATTAGAATAATTTAACACCTTATACATAAATATATTTTTAGTTATATTATATATTTCATAATTTCTTTTCGTTAAGAGTAGTTTCATATTTTATTTTTATTTTTTTGATTTTTTTTATTAATTAATTCGAAATTGAGACACGTGATATGAATTAAAAGGGTATCGCGTAACCTTAGCAACTAATGTGTAAAAATATTTACTTATTTAGTATGCAAATATTTTTTGCGGAAAATCGTAAGATTTCTAATAAATTCAAACATATTTAAATATATCTATAGATATATAATTATTGGCAGATACATTAAATAAAACTTATTTAATAAAACCTCCAAGTTTTTACTGCCTAAATCATTTATCAAAAAAATATTTCACTCTTTAATCTTTATCCAATCTTTTTAATACAAAACTTATTCATATTGATGTTATTAGTTGAATATGCTGAAATTAAGATTCTTGTTATAATAAATCGTTTTGAACTTTAAAAAAAACTAAACAATGTGGGATGAAAGTCATTTTTTTTTTTTGGCAATATAGGTTTTTATTATGTTGAATGAAAGTATTTTTTTTTTAAGAATTTAAGTTTTTATGGTTGGTGTCTTGGTGAGAAAAACTTAATTGGATTTTCAATTATAATTCACTTGACTTACAATTTGTCTAATTTTTTAATATTTCAGATTCCTAATTATTGAATTTGATTAACTTATTTCCAGCAAATATATTTACGTAACTATTGTAATTTGAAAAAAAAAAATAGTAAGTTTTTAATGTTGGTGCAAAAACATAATTGGAATTAATTTGACCAACAATATCGAAATTATTTTGTGAGAGTAGTATATTTACGTAATTAATTAGTGTTATTTAAGTAATAAGAAAAATATAGTAGGTTTATTTGTTGTACTAGTACAACACCCGTGTATTACACGGGTGCTTGTTAAAAAATTATTCTTAAATTTTAAAATAAATGAGAAAACTATATTAAATTTAGTTTACTTTTTTACAAAAAAATATATTACTATATATTTTAGAATGATATGTGTTACTTATGACTTACATGTGTTATATTATCTTAGTTTTTATAACTTATATCATATAACTACTTGAAATATAAATATATTAGTTGATAAATAATTTTATTTTTCTAATTAATATTAAAAATAATTTTATTATTGTTATAAAGATAAATATAAATTATTTTTATTATACATACAATATGGATGTTAAATCGAAGTTTATCAAAAAAATATTTATTTGATATATTATATATGTAAAACTGATAAAGAATATAAAAGTTATTAACTTTTAAAATATATATACAATTCAATAATTATAATAAGGAATGATATTAAAATGCAATAAATACATGTAACATGACCATAAATAATCAACATATTTATGTTATTCCGAACCTAATTATTTTTTATTTGGAATTAAATTAAAATTTACCCAAACCTAATAACAAAGCATGTAATTTTGCCACATAAGATTCCGAAGCACCAGAAGCAGCCACGTAGACTCAGCGCGTTCTGAATTAATATATAGAGGGATATAGAAGATTGACTCCAATATATAGTCAACTGATTGGTTCATAGCAAAACTGGAGTAGTATAATCCGTTTAGCACAAATTAGAACAAAAAATTATAGGATCCGTTTTTGTCAATCAACAGTAATACAATCATTTAGTGGACACTAGTACATAACCCCGTGCGATGAACGGGCTGTATTTATTTTGATAAAATTTTAAATTAAATTATTAATAAATAAGTTATAATACATAGAGTATTTGTTAGGTAATCGTAAAATGTTCGTCATGAAAAAGTCATACATTATTAAGAACATCGTCATTTTTCCATGCAAAATTACTTTTCAATTGGCAACCGTAGAACGATATTTATCAAGATTGCTCTCCAGTTGGTAATTGCGGCATAGACACATTATTACTTTTTTTTTTTTTGATTTTCATTATGTTAGCACCACAAATTAAAATTATAGTGTATGTATGTAATATTGTGATAAATACTAAAGATATGGTTTATCTGGTGAAGTTTAATTTTATATAGAATATAAGAAAAGTTGTTACCTTAAAGTGTGGATTTTAAGTATATCTTTTTTTTTTAATCATTCTCGTTTTTTATTCTAAATTCGTTCCAATATTGAGAACAATTTTGTTTTTGTTATGTTTTAACAGAGATTTGGATTTTTGATTGTATCTTTTGTAAAATAATATTTACAAAAATAATTACGTTAAAAAAAATAACAACGATATTTTATCATTTGTAGCTCAAAACTAACTTAATGAATCGGATGACATTAAATCACTATTTTTAAATGAAAAAAATATTTCATAACTAAATTGATAAAAAAATAATTCAAAATGATATTAAAATCGTGATAATATAAATAAAAAGTTGTTTACATGCGTAGTAGAATATTGAATCGAATATTGTGGCAATTTTTAAAACATGTTACCATGATTGAAATGAATTTTTTACTAAATTTTTTATTTGTAGTTAAGTTGCATATATTGTATAACTATATATGAAAAAAATAAAAAAATTTAAATTTCAAATATGAGATTTATTTATATATATATGTATAATAAAGTGTACAGTCCAAATAATAATTTTTTTATTTATCATTTGTATTATTAATATTGATACCATGATTATTGTAAGTTCTACTCTCATTATTACGGCAAATTTATGCTATATTAAAATGAATTGAAAAGTCTAAAAAGAAATATAGATTGAATTAAAAATATTAAATTGTGGTTAAATTATTTGATTCCATAATTATACTGATTTTAAAATGATACTTCATAATATTTGATTAATTCCATAATCAAATATTTGACCAGTTGCATAAAATGTGGGTTGAGATTGTTATTTTCCAAATTTATTCTTGGTGACCATCTTCAATTTTATTTTTATTTAAATTTAAATTGTTATTCGTGATTTTATTTTTTTTTTTGTGTATTTGCAAATTTATTGCATGCCACCATCTATATGATTTTGTTGCAATTAAAACTAAAATATTATATAACTATTGTAAAATAATCTGTATAACTAAGTTTAATGAAAATATTAAATCTGTTTTATTCACTAAAACGTGGCTAATTAATGGAAATGTGGTTCTTTATATAACGGTTTTGGAATATAGCAAATTTGTGATGTAGGTATAATTTAATTGGCAAAATTATATGTTATGCTAGCAATTCTATATACATAGATTAGTAATCATATATCACATTAAATGATATATGAAAGTTAGATAAACATAAATGATTATATTTTAACAATTTTTTTTTTCAAATCTATCTATTCTAAAATCAGTATTATATTTTTTATCTGATTACGCGATTGATTTTTAAATAATTTTTTTTTAAATGTTATAGTGAAATTTTT